AAAATCACCCAAACCTGACCCCAAAACTGCCCCAAATTTAACCCAAAAAAAGCCCCGAATTTCACCCCAAATCACCCAAATTTCACCCCGAAATCACCCGAATTGACCCCAAAGCTCCTTTCCCCCCGGATTTGCCCAAAACCGGCGGAATTTGCCCCAAAGTGCGCTCACCATCAGCTCCTCGTTGATGATCATCTTGCTGATGATGCCGTGCACCGTGGGCAGCTCCAGCTCGAACATGGCCGCCAGCGTCTCCATGCTGCGCCCCAAAATCGCCCTTTTTCAACCCAAAATCCCGCCCCTCCTCCGCCCCGGAGTTCAGCATTTTACCCCAAAATGCGGCCGGCTTTAACCCAAAATTCTCACTTTTTAAACCCACAGAATTCAGACTTTTTACCCCAAAATTCACTGATTTTCCCCTTTTAAACCCACCGGTTTTTACCCCGAAATTTGTATTTTTTACCCCAAAATTCACTGATTTTCCCCTTTTAAACCCACTGGTTTTTACCCCAAAATTTGTATTTTTTGCCCCAAAATTCACTAATTGTCTCCTTTTAAACCCACTGGTTTTTACCCCAAAATTTGTATTTTTTACCCCAAAATTCACTAATTTTCCCCTTTTAAACCCACTGGTTTCTACCCCAAAATTTGTATTTTTTACCCCAAAATTCACTGATTTTCCCCTTTTAAACCCACTGGTTTTTACCCTGAAATTTATATTTTTTACTCCAAAATTCATTATTTTCTTACGCAAAATTTGTATTTTTTTTACCCTAAAATTCACCAATTTTTCCCTTTTAAATCCGCTATTTTTTACCCCAAAATTTACATTTTTTACTCCAAAAATCACATTTTTAACCCCAAAATTCACCAATTTTTCCCTTCTAAATTCACCATTTTTTCCCTTTTGAATTCACATTTTTTACCCCAAAATTCACATTTTTCACCTCAAAATCCACTTTTTTTTTGCCCCAAAATTATTTTTTTACCCCAAAATTCACTTTATTTTACCCCAAAATTTACCAATTTTTCTCTTCTAAATTCACTCTTTTTTACCCCAAAATTCTTTTTTTTACCCCCAAATCCACTTTTTTACCCCAAAATTCACCTATTTTTGCCGTTTAAATTCACTACTTTTACCCCAAAACACTAATTTTTTTTACCCCAAAATCCACTTTTTTACCCCAATATCCAATTTTGTTTGACCCAAAATTCACCTTTTTTTACCCCAAAATTCCCATTTTTCCCTCCAAAATCCATTTTACCCCAAAATTCACATTTTTTACCCCAAAATTAACTTTTATTTACCCCAAAAGCCACCTTTTTTTAACCACAAAATACACATTTCCCCCCCCAAAATCCACTTGTTTTTTACCCCAAAATCCCCTTTTTTCACCCCAAAAATCCACTTATTTCCCCCCAAAATTCCCATTTTTCACCCCAAAATCCCCTTTTCTTCACCCCAAAAATCCACTTTTTTCCCCCCAAAATTCCCATTTTTCACCCCAAAATCCCCTTTTCTTCACCCCAAAAATCCACTTTTTTCCCCCCAAAATTCCCATTTTTCACCCCAAAATCCACTTTTTCCCCCCCCCAATTTTTTTTTTTTTTTTTCTCCCCAATTCCCCCTTTCCCCCCAAAACTCCCATTTTTTTTTTGACCCAAAATCCCCGTTTTTCGCCCCAAAAGCCGCCCTGACCTGATGGAGTCGTAGACGCTGCTGTAGGTGAACAGGTACGTGCGGAGAGATTCCTCCTGGATCTTCCTGCGGCACCAAAAGTGCCCAAAATGACCCAAAATGACCCAAAATCGGCCAAAATCGGCCAAAATTGGCCAAAGTGCCCAAAATGACCCAAAATCGGCCAAAAAAGTGCCCAAAATGACCCAAAATTGGCCAAAATTGGCCAAAGTTCCCAAAATGACCCAAAATTGGCCAAAAAAGTTCCCAAAATGACCCAAAATTGGCCAAAGTTCCCAAAATGACCCAAAATTGGCCAAAGTGCCCAAAATGACCCAAAATCGGCCAAAGTTCCCAAAGTGCCCAAAATGACCCAAAATTGGCCAAAATTGGCCAAAGTGCCCAAAATGACCCAAAATTGGCCAAAAAAGTTCCCAAAATGACCCAAAATCGGCCAAAATTGGCCAAAGTTCCCGAAGTTCCCAAAATGACCCAAAATTGGCCAAAATTGGCCAAAGTTCCCAAAATGACCCAAAATTGGCCAAAATTGGCCAAAGTTCCCAAAGTTCCCAAAATGACCCAAAATTGGCCAAAATGGTCCAAATTTCCTCACCTGGGCACGGCCCAAATTCCCAAAATTTCATTTTCTGCCCCAAAATGACCCAAAATTGGCCAAATTCCCTCACCTGGGCACCTCAAATCCTCATTTTTAACCCCAAATCCCCCAAAATTGCCCCAAAAATCACCCCAAAAATCCCTATAAAACCCCCTAAAACCGCCCGAAATTGCCCAAAATCCCCGGAATTCACCCCAAATTTCCCAGGAGGACTCACCTGAGACTCACCTGAGACTCACCTGGGCACCTCAAATCCTCATTTTGAACCCCAAATCCACCCCAAAAATCCCTATAAAATCCCCCAAAAATCCCTATAAAATCACATTAAAACCGCCCAAAATTGCCCAAAATCCCCGGAATTCACCCCAAATTCCGGGGGCCTCACCTGACGAGCATGGCGCGCACCTGGTCGGCCTCGGGGAACAGGTCCCACACCTTGAACCTCCAAAATCCCCCCAAAACCCCAAAAATCACCCAAAAATCACCCCAAAACTCCCTATAAAATAAACCAAAAATCATCATAAAACCGCCCAAAATTGCCCAAAATCCCCGGAATTCAGCCCAAATGTTC